AGAGAGAGAGAGAGAGAGAGAGAGAGAGAGAGAGAAGAAAAGAAAAGAACAGGCTTGTCTGTGGCATAGGAAAAGTTAGATTGGGCACAGGTGTAATCAGTGGTTGGCACATGCACAATGAACCCCCATGCTCCCCTCTTTTACTGAAAATTGAGTTTTTTTTTCATATAGTGATCCTGATTGTTTTTCCCCTCCCTCAATTCTCAATTCCTTCCAGCTCCTTCCCACTGTCCTCCCATCCATATCTCATTAGAAAACAGGGATAAAAGAGATAAACTATAATAGGAGAAAAGAAAAAAATACATTGGAATTGGACAAAACAGAAGGAAAAGAGCACAAGAAAAGGCACAAGAAACAGATACAGATGCAGAGACCTGCTCATTTGCTCATTTATAACATATACGAAAAGGGTGGCACATGCCTTTAATCTCAGCGCTGGGGGTGGGAAGGCAGAGGCAAGTGGATCTCCATGAGTTTGAGGCCAGACTGGTCTACAGGGTGAATTCCAGGACAGCCAGGGCTGTTATACAGAGAAACCCTGACTTGGAAGAGGGGTACAACAAAATGAGAGGGAGGGAGGGACCTCTATGTTATTCATGAGGGCTGTGTTAATGTCTCTGTCGTTGCTTCAGCTCTGCTGCATTTCCCAGGGCCCGCTGTGGTAGGGTTTCTGTGCTCCAGTGGAGACATATTATATTGGCTGTTATTGATTGTATTTTTACGGTAGCATCTAGACATCTAGGTTTGAGAAGATTGTAATTCTAGGTGCTAATATATGGTCTGTTTTTTGGTGGGTGGGTGTTTTGTTCCTTGTCCTCTGTTGCCGTCTGGTTCTTAGAGTGTGGTGGCTGTGTGTTGCCTGGTAAGGAATTCTTCAGATTCTGTTAGGTGTGGCCACAGGGGGTTCCAGGTAGAATGGGTTTCTAGGTATTTGGAGCTCTTAAGACTCAGATGGGCTCGAAAGGGGTGGTGGTGGCTGAGGAAGATCACAGGAGGAAAAAAAAGCAGTGTTTCACCAGGATCTACTGAGTCTTCTGAGAATGGGGACAGAGAGTGAGGAGAGGCCACAGTGTCTTAGTCTACTACAGAGCTGAGGTGAGACTGGGGGGTTGGGTTTGGAGGAGAGGAGGGAGAGGTGAAGATCTGCAGTTAGTCTACCTGCTTCTGCTTCCCTGGCTAGAGTGACCAGCAGGGTTTTTTCCTTCCATAGAGGGCCTTACTATGTAGCCCTAGTTAGACTGGAACTTGCCCTCTAGACCAGGCTGGCCTTGAACTCATGAAGATCCAACTTCCTCAGCTTCCTGAATACTGGCATGAAATGTGGCTCATGCCTAGATCATGTCTTTTCATAAGACACATGTCCACAAAATGGCTGCATTAGTGTGATTTGAGTGCAGTCAGACTTTTTCCTCGGGACCCACGGCTCCCCAGTAATGACATGGCAGAGACTTATTAATTATGAAAATTCAACCTTAGCTTAGGCTTGTTTCTGACTAGTTCTTCTAAGTTAACCCATTTCTCTTAATCTACTTTCTGCCTTGTGGCTTTATTACCTCATTTCCCTTTTGCCTATTCTGCTTGCTCTGGGTCTCCTGGCATCTCCAGTTTCTTCTTCCCAGCATCCTCTCTGCACAGAAATCCTGCTTAGCTATTGGCCGTTCAGCTCTTTATTAAGCCAATCAGAGTGACACATCTTCACAATATACAAAAAGGTGTATTCCACATTTTTGAGGGTTGTATTTTGGCTTTCTGATATCAAAAGATGACATCTGTATAGATCCAAGTGAAGAGTTGATGGTTTCAGCAAAATGGCCTTCATACATAACTAGGCAACTGTTAGCATCATGATCAACACTTCAGAGGGTTTTTTAAAAATTTAGCTGAATTAATTAATTTTTATTGCCAATCATAGCCTTTCTTCATAGACAAGTATAAATATAAACAAAACAGCAGATAAAAAGAACATAAAACATGACAGAGATAATATTTATTGTTCTTATGTCCCAACTGCAGTTTCCTCTCCCTCCTCTCCTCCTAGTCTCTTCCCCCACACTCCGTCTTTCTCCCAACCCCACATCCATTCCTCCTCCATTTCTCTTCAGAAAAGGACAGGCCTCCCATGGATGTCAACCAACCATGGCATATCAAGTTTCAGTAAGACTAGGCACTTCCTCTCCTATTAAGACCAGATGAGGGAACCCAGTCAGAGGAAAGAGTCCCCAAAGCAGGTAACTGAATGAGAGACAGCCCCTGCTCCCACTGTTAGGAGTTCCACAAGAAGACCAAGCTACACAAATGTCACATATATGCGGGAGGCCAAAGATGTGCACCACCACACCTGGCTAGAGGTGTTGCTTATAGTAAAGCTAATGGGAAAGTACTATATTGCTCAGCTGAGTGGCCTTGAAGATGAATGATCTTAAAATTTTTTAAAATTATTTTTAAAACTTTATTTGTATAGTTGTCTTGCCTGTATGTGTCCCACTTGTGTGCAGTGACTGAGGAGGCCAGAAAAGGGCTTTGGCTTCCCTGGAACTAGGGTCACAGTTGGTTTCAAGCTGCCATGTGGGTACTGGCACTAGAACCCAGGTCCTCCAGAAGAGTAGCCAATGTTCTCAACCCCTGAGCCATCTCTCTAGACCTGAAAGTGAATGATTTCTAAACAAAAACAAATGGAGTAGGAAACTCAGGTTTCCTTTCAGTTTCAAAATCCCAGTGTGCCCTTTTCTCCTAGATTGTGCTGCCTAAGACCCAGCCTGTTGTGGATTATCATTTTAAGATGTGTTACATTTGTTTATGCTGTGGAACATTTGTTTAATGATGCAAAGATGTGTTCCAGTCTTTTTTTTTTAAGATTTATTTATTTACTATGTATACAACATTCTGCCCCCATGCATGCCTGCACACCAGAAGAGGGCACCAGATCTCATCGCAGGTGGTTGTGAGCCACCATGTGGTTGCTGGGAATTGAACTCAGGACCTCTGGAAGAGCAATCAGCGCTCTCCCAACTTCTGAGCCATCTCTCCAGCCCCTTGTTTGTTTTTTTTAAGACAGGGTTTCTCTGTGGCTTTGGAGGCTGTCCTGGAACTAGCTCTTGCCGACTAGGCGGGTCTCAAACTCACAGAGATCCACCTGCCCCTGCCTCCGGAGTGCTGGGATTAAAGGCATGCACCACCACTGCCCGGCTTGTGTTCCATTCTTTCATGTTGCATTTGTTTAACTCTGTGAAGCTGTGTTACTTTGCCTGCCTAAAACATCTGATTGGTCTAATAAAGAG